TGCCGATGAGAGCCTTTGGCGGGAGCTGGGGCGGGTGCAGCTACAATATGAATGTAGTGGGCGCGAGTCCGCCAGCTGCTGGAATACAAATCGAGCACCTGCAGGAGGCACGTGATAGCTGATGGCTGTCATTTCTTTGCAGCGTCTCAGCCCTTCTCTCCTCTGGCAAGTGGAGCGGGGTATCGCCCAGGCTCCGTCAGCTCCGGGCACGGTAGCTTATGTCAGAAAGCACCGTCATGGCGACCTGCTGGTTATCCAGTGGTTAGAGCATCAGCCCATGGACCGAAGGGTTGTGGGTTTGATTCCGGTCAAGGGCACCAACCTCAGTTGCAGGCTTGATCCCTGGCCCCGGTTGGGGCGTGTGTGGGAGGCAACCATTGATGTGTCTCACATCGACGTTTCCTCTGTGAGTCTCTCTCCCCTCCCCGCTGTCCCTCCCACTCTCTCCAAAAACCAATGGAGAACTTACCCTCGAGTGAGGATTTTTAAAAAGCACAGACAAGGCAGTCATCGCCATCTTGAGGACGGAAGAGCCCACATACAGAGCCTGAGGACGGCCTGAAACAGCCGTGACGTGGACTCACAGTGTCATAAAGTGGCGCCCGCCCCAGACAGAACCCAGGCCCGTGAGGGCACCGCGGGACCTGATCACAATGGCGGGCGTTGTCCTGGAAACTTAGGCCCAGGTCTGGTGTCTGTCAGTTTCCTGTTGCTTGGTGGGGGGGACCTACAACTGAATGAATGGCTTACATCACAGCCGTCTTGCTATGGTGCTCTGTGAGTGGACTGGGCTCCGCTGGGCAGGTCTCCATGTGGCATCAGCGGGGCTGCCCTGGGACACCCAGATGCCCAGGTGCTCATCCCGCGGCCGCCCCCCCCCACCCCGGCTGCTCACCTGAGGCTGTGACCAGCGCACCTCCTCCTGGCTTCTCCCCGGGGCTGGGCTCTGGCCAGTTTCCGACAGGCAGGAAGCAGGGGCTGCAGGTTCCCTGAGGCCTGGCCTTGGACTTGGAAGAGCATCACTGGATCCAGGGGGCGGGAAACAAGCTGGCTGTGGGGAGCGTGTGGGGAGGGAGCATGTGTGTGTGTGTGTGTGCGCGCGCGCGCGCGCTCACACACACACACACACATGCTCCCCCACACACGCGCTCCCCCACACATGCGCTCCGTGCGCGCGCGCGCGCGCACGGAGCGCATGTGTGGGGGAGCGCGTGTGTGGGGGAGCGCGTGTGTGGGGGAGCGTGTGGGGGGGTGCGCATGTGTGGGGGGCGCATGTGTGGGGGGCACGTGTGTGGGGGAGGAGTGCACATGTGTGGGAGTGCGTGTGTGGGGGGACACTGTATGGGAGGGAGCGCACGTGTGTGGGGAGCGGAGGAATTGTTGAGGGGGGCGTGCATCTCGGGAGACAGCACCTGCCCGTCCTGCAAACACTGAGCTCACACATCTACTAAAGACGAAGCGACTACCGACCACCGTAAAGGGCCACTTGTCCATCAGCGCCGGGACCAGTGCCGTCGCTCTCCCCGGGCCTCAGTGTGTGCAGCTGTGAAGGGGGACACGGGCGTCCTCTCCTCCCTCACGGCTCTGCCCTCTGTGCTCCAGGTACTCCTTCCAGGACGAGGAGGACATGTTCATGGTGGTGGACCTGCTGCTGGGCGGGGACCTGCGCTACCACCTGCAGCAGAACGTGCACTTCCCCGAGGGCGCCGTGAGGCTGTACATCTGCGAGCTGGCGCTGGCGCTGGAGTACCTGCAGCAGCACCGCATCATCCACAGGTGAGGCTGCGGGCAGCGCCCAGGGCCTGCGGGAGCGGCTGCAGGGGTGTATTCCCACGGGGTGTGCAGGAGGTCGCTGCAGGGGTGTTTTCCCACGGGGTGTGCAGGAGGTCGCTGCAGGGGTGTTTTCCCACGGGGTGTGCAGGAGGTCGCTGCAGGGGTGTTTTCCCACGGGGTGTGCAGGAGGTCGCTGCAGGGGTGTTTTCCCACGGGGTGTGCAGGAGGTCGCTGCAGGGGTGTTTTCCCACGGGGTGTGCAGGAGGTCGCTGCAGGGGTGTTTTCCCACGGGGTGTGCAGGAGGTCGCTGCAGGGGTGTTTTCCCACGGGGTGTGCAGGAGGTCGCTGCAGGGGTGTTTTCCCACGGGGTGTGCAGGAGGTCGCTGCAGGGGTGTTTTCCCACGGGGTGTGCAGGAGGTCGCTGCAGGGGTGTTTTCCCACGGGGTGTGCAGGAGGTCGCTGCAGGGGTGTTTTCCCACGGGGTGTGCAGGAGGTCGCTGCAGGGGTGTTTTCCCACGGGGTGTGCAGGAGGTCGCTGCAGGGGTGTTTTCCCACGGGGTGTGCAGGAGGTCGCTGCAGGGGTGTTTTCCCACGGGGTGTGCAGGAGGTCGCTGCAGGGGTGTTTTCCCACGGGGTGTGCGGGAGCCGGCTGCAGGGGTGTTTTCCCACGCGGGGAGGGCGGGAGGCCGATGCAGGGGTGTTTTCCCACAGGGTGTGCGGGAGGCCGCTGCAGGGGTGTTTTCCCACAGGGGGTGTGCAGGAGCCCGCGGTGGGCAAGGGGGTTTCCCACTGGTGTTCTTTAGTCCTGGTAGTTCATGGAGACCATAAAAAATAGCGCACTTCAGTCCTGCTCACCGTGACCTGCCTCGAGGTGCAGGCCCACTGCCTGTCACGGGGGGGACCTGCGTGGTCCCTGCTGCCGGGCTGGTGCCTTGGGGAGGCTGGTGTGTTCTGTCCCTCCCGTCCCAGTTACAGCGACCACGTGCGGTGAGGCGGGGGGACAGGTTCTGCTCTGTCCCCCTCCCCCTCAGGAACCCATGACGGCCATCTCAGAGGGTTTCTTCCTGGTGGGGAGCTGCAGGGCTGTGGGGATAGGATGATAACCTCAGGCTGCTGTGAGGATAAGAGATAATGGAGCGCGTGCCTCGTTTGGGGTGTCCTGTCCCTGTCACGGGGTCCATTTGTTGTGTTTCCCCGTCACTTCCCTTCTCAGAGAGTCTGGCAAGGCAGATAAAAAAGACTGAAATAGTCATTAAGTAAAACCCAGTTTGTGTCCAGCAGTTATGCTAATATATGCATGCTTATAAGTTCTTTGGTTGCTACTAACACCCCCCCCCCTGCCCGCCATTTGTGGGGGCTTGCCCCGGTGGGAATGTCTGGGAGGGGGTGTCAGGCAGGGAAAAAGGAGACATATGTAAAATTTTAGACAATAAAAAAAGGAAAATAAAGATAAATAAAAGAGAAAAAGCACACCGAGCGTGGCGCCTGGCTGTGCCGCTTGCTGCCTGCGTCAGAGGAACGCGCTTGGGAGCCCCTCAGGCCTCGTTTTCTTGGTCCTCACGATGAGACGAGCGTGCGCCGCTCCCGGGCTGGTGCGGAGGCGAGATGAGATGACGCCTAAGATGCTTGGTGGCTCGGAGGTGCAGGGGCAGGAAGGGCCTAGTCCCCTGGCCCAGGTGGCAACTCACGTGGCCTCAGCTGTACCTGACTTCTCGGTGGCCTCTTTGGGAAGTTTTGCGTTGAGTAGCAGGGCCTGGCATTTCACAGAGCTGGACTCGGGTCCGAGCGCTGACCTTGTCTTTGTTGAAGTTGAGGCCACGTTCCCAGGCTGCTCAGTTTGGAAGGCAAATCAGGGTGAACAGTATCGACAGTGTCCCCGGTGATGGCCGCCGTGGCACACGGACCGAGGGACAGGTCCCAGCAGGTGCCTACGTGCGCCACACCGTTCACGCCTCACCACCGCCGGGTCTGCTGACCCCATTCGCGCTGCAGACGGGCGCGCAGATGCGGCAGATGGTTCGGAACGAGAGCACGGAAAAGCGAGGACAGTGGACTGTCCCCATGAGAGAGAGATGAGCTCCGGAAGGGCTTGCATTCGGGGAAGAAGGACAAGGGGCTGGGACCAGGGCACC